GCCTAAACACCCAACCCACACAGTACAACACACACAAAAAAATGTAAAAGATGGGTACATATAGAAATAAAAAGAAACTCAAAAATCACCCTGGCGCTGAAAAAAGTGTGGGTCATCCCAATCTAGTATTGCCTCTGGCTCTAGTTCTCGGTAGTGATCCAGCTAGCAAATTGGTAAGGTGCTGACCATTACCCGTAGTAACCAAATTATCATCCATAAGACTCCCGAGCTCTAGTAGATCTTCATTCTTCTTCTTCCTCCTGGAAGTGTAAACTTGCAATTCCTCCTCCAAAGAATCCGCCTGATGGGGGCGAGATGAACCAGAAGGAACAGTAGTAACCACAATAGGTTCTACAATATGAGAAGTGTGAGTTGTCGCTACACCGGTTACTTCTTGAAGAAGTGGAGCTGTGAGGTTCTCCTGATTATCAGTCTGAACACTATTATTTATAGGTAATAGTCCATCAGAATTGTTTTGTATGGAATTTGTAGGTGTCAGCATCGCATCACTCGTAGTAACAGTAACAGCAGTGTCATGGGGGTCCTTAGGTGCAACAGACACCTTCTGTCTGGTAGTATCATCCTCAGGTGGAACTAAAATGTCCACAGCAGTGGGGTTAAACCCATCCTTATTCACTTGACCCTTAGATTTCAAATTAGGATGAAATTTGTGGCATTTAGCATGGATATGACCAAACATCTTACAGTGGGTACAATATGGGGGTTTGTGTTTTATGACGATTTGTTGTCAATAACCATATGAGTTGTGCCCAGCCAGACTTCAGTAACATCTAGTATAGTAATATCCCTTTCCTCAAGTATTTTGTCCACCGAGGGTCTAGTTAGGTTGAAAGTGGGCAGATCTAGTTTCAAAGGATCCCCAATAGAGTAAAGAACCTGATGGTGAAAAAACTGCAGCTTGAAACCAGATAAACTAAACCATACCGGTACAGTGGGAGTTTCATGATTTGGGTCGAAATTAGGAGACCACTTGAGTAACTTCATTGATTTGCCTTCGATATTAAGATATTTCTTGGAGAAAATTCTGGTGTAGTCTTCAGCCACTGTTAGTTAGATCAACACATGTCTCCTATCCATGAGTCTCACTTTCCACTTGCCTACTAGTTTAAGATCATCAACACCATTTCTGATAACTTTCATAGGAGGGTGTCCCCACTGAAATTTTCCAATAAGAGCAAACTTGAATTTTTCCGTCAGGGTATAAATTTCTGTTTCAGAGAAAAAGATTGCATCTTTTCCGCCTTTCCTGCTTCATTTTTTTAATAAAAGGACTATCATCTGTACCCTCACGAGATTCCTTATAACTTAAGGAGAATCCCACTGCGGACTCTACCTAAGGGTTACCCACCACGTGAGCAAATGAGACTTAAGTGAATATATATATATATATATAGTTATACACAACCGATGACAATCTGCTATGTTAGGGTTTTGCCCGATGGCGAAACTCTAGTTGGATTCCTTGCTCTACCTTGCGATTGTCGTCTCCTCCTTCGCACCTTCTAGCTAGCCTTCCAGCTTCTACGGTTCTTTTCTGCGCGAATCGAGCTGTGGTTTCGTGTTTGTTGAGCTGCGATTTCGTTTCTTTGCCCTGTCTTCTACGCATTTCATCTGCGGTCTGCGCCCCAAATTCTTCGACTCGTCTTTTTTGCCCTCTGCTCGACTTGCAGGGCTCCTCTTTGGTGTGTTGGAGCTTCTTTCTTCGGTTGAACCTGACAAAACCTCCTTTGCCCACGTGGTGGGTAATCCTTAGGGGGTTTACCCTTAGGGGGAGACGGTGGTTGCCTTCCCTTCAAGTTATAAGAAACATCGTGATGGTACAGTTGACTGTCCATTTTTTAAGAATGTAAGCAAAAAAAGTGGGAAGACAACACTTTTTTTCTCCACGTCAGAAATTTCAACACTCACTGACAAATTCAAATTTGCTCTTATTAAAAAATTTCAGTAGGGACACTCACCTATAGAAATTATCATGAAAAGTTTTGATGACCTCAAATTAACAGAAAAGTGGAAAGTGGGGCTCATGGATGAGAGACATGTATTGATTCAGTTAACCGTGCCTGAGGACTACACTTGAATTTTCTCCCAAAAATATCTTAACATCGTTGGTAAACCTATGAAGCTACTCAAGTGGTCTCTTGATTTCGACCCAAATCATGAAACTTTCACTGTACCGGTATTGTTTAGTTTACCTAGTTTTAAGCTACATTTTGTTACCAACAGGTTCTCTACTCTATTAGAGTCATCTTTGGAAATCCTTTGAAGCTAGATCTACCCACTGTCAACCTAATCAAACCCTCGGTGGCCGAAATCTTTATGAAAAAGGGATATTACTTTACCTTGATGTTACTGAAGTCTGGTTGGGCACAACCCATAATGGTTATTGACAACAAATCGTCATGGAACACGGACCTCCATATTGTACCCACTGTAAGATGTTTGGTCATGTCATTGATCCTTGATAAATGTCACAAGTTTCATCCAAATTTGAAATCTAAGTTTCAAGTGAATAAGGATGGGTCTAACCCCATTACTCTGGATATTTTAGTTCCACCTGGGGAGAATACTACCAGATAGGAGGTGTTTGTTGCCCCTAAGGACTCCCCCCATGACATTGTTGTTACTGTTACTGCGAGTGATGTGATGCTGACACCTTCAAACCCCATAGAAAATAATACTAATGGACTATTACCTATGAATGATAGTGTTCAGACTGATAATCGAGAGAGTTTCGTAGCTCCACTTCTTCAGGAATTATCCGGTGTAGAGGCAACTCATACTTCACACATACTAGAATCTATTGTGGGTACTACAGTTGGCATTCCTTCTGCTTCAGCTCTACCACCCCATCAGACGGATTCTTCGGAAGAGGAATGACAGGTCTATTCCAGGAGGAAGAAGAAGAATGAAGGCATATTGGATGATATATTGGTTACTACTGGCAATGACAATCATCTCACCAGCTCATTAGCTTGCTCCTTCCCTAGAACTAGAGACATAGGCAATACCAAATTGGGTCGCTCTCTAGCCACCTGATACTATGTATTTCGGCACTGTTAGACTTTTTATTTAAGTATCTAATGTATTTTTCTATTTTTTTCTAGTTTTGAAACCATTTGTGATTTTTGTGTAGGCAGGGAATTTTTGTATAGGCAGGGTGTCATGCTTAGGCCCCTCCCACATATTGTATCTGTATGTTTCTTTCTATTTAATTATTTATTTAAAAAAAGCCCATGGGCAATTATATTAAAGTGAAAAGGGTACAGATAGGTTGTATGAGTGAGTCTAAATAGACTCCCAACCCACACAGTACAACGCACACAAAAAGAAAAAAGAAAAATTAAAAACCCAAAAAAAGATGGTACATATAAGATCAATCGGGTCGACCCAATTTAGATCAGTCTTTGCCTCTTGTTCTCGGAAGGGAACCAACCAATAAATTGGCGAGATGCGTAACATTGCCCGAAATAACCGAAGTATCATCCATTAGATTCCTTACTCATGTAGATCTCCATGCTTCTTCTTCCTCCTGGAAGTGTAGATCTGTCATTCTTCATCCGAAGATTATTGCTCATTCGGATGAGATGATAGTTTTGCAGTAGAAAGATTACCAACAGTTTTGCCCACAAGAGGTTCAAATGTATGTGAGGTAAAAGTTATTGCCTCTACTCCTGATACTTCCTGAAGATGGGGAGCTGCAAGGTTCTCCTAATTATCAGTCTGTGTTGGTAGGGGTCCTTTAGTACTGTTTTCAATAGGGTTTGAAAGTGTATGTTGCTCAGCAATGCCATCCAGCTTCTCATCCATCATGAAAGCAATATTTTCAAGGGGAGGGTCCACAGGGGCAATAGAATTAGACACCAAATCCTGTCCCGTGGTAGTTTTCTCTCCATGTGGAACAGATATATCATTAGATCCATTCTTATTCACTTGATCTTTAGATTTCAAATTAGGATGAAGCTTATGACATTTATCAAGGGTAAGCCCAAACATCTTACAATGATAACAATAATGAGGTCTTTGCTCCATGACGATTTGTTGTCAATATCCAACATGAGTAGTGTCCAACCAAACTTCAGTAACATCAGGTAAAGTAATATCTCTTTCCACAATTATTATTGCCACAGAAGGTCTGGTAAGGTTGAAAGTGGGTAGATCTAGTTTCATAGGGTCCACAAGTATGACACCAATAGAGTAAATAACCTGATGATGAAAAAAATGAAGTTTGAGATCAGGTAGATTAAACCATACTGGTATAATAGGAGGTTCATGATTAGGGTCAAAATTCAGAGACCACTTGAATAGGTTCATTGGTTTATCAACAATGTTAAGATATTTTTTGAAAAAAATCTGAGTGTAGCCTTCAGGCATGATTAATTGAATCAATACATGTCTCATATTCATGAGCCCCACCTTCTACTTTTCTGATAATTTGAGATCATCAAAACTTTTTCTGATAACTTTCATATGTGGGTGTCCCCACTGAAATTTTTCAATAAAAAAAAACTTGAATTTATCAGTTAGGGTTGAAATTTTTAACTTAAAAAAAAGAGTATTGCCTTCTCACTTTTCCTACTTGCCTTCTTAATAAAGAGGCAGTCACCTGCACCATCACGATACTTCTTATAACTTGAGGGGAAAACAATCGCCGTCTCCCCCTGAGGATTACCTACCACGTGAGCAAAGGAGACTTTGACAGATTACACCGAAGAAGAGGGAAGCTCCATCACAACAGCAAGGAGAAGCCCTGCCAAGTCGGGCTGAGGGAAAAACGACGAGCAGAAGAGGTCGTGGCTAAGCTTCGCAGAAGACACGAACCAGATGTAGAAACCACCGCGACAGTCTCAGCAAACCACAACTCAACAAGGCAGAAGACACGAACCATAGAAATGGCGTGGAGGAGACGACGAAACCGCAGAAGCTGGAAGACGCCGCAGTTTCGTTGTTGGGCACAAAGGAGGAGACGACGACGAAACCAAAGCCCTACGTCGCTGGGCGCGAAGGATGAGACGACGATCGCAGAGGCGATTGACGAGCACAAAGTCCTTCGTTGTCGATTACGAGAACTTCGTCTTGTTGAGCATGGATTGATAGCCAAAGATTCAAACCAGGGTTTCACCTTCAGGCAAAACCCTAGAAAAGTAGTTCGCCACCGACATAACATAAAGACTTAAGATGATGTATCTTTCTGTCAGATGAGAAGATTCAGGAAAAGGAAAAAAAAAAAAAAGTCTTTTGTAACTTTTTGGTTGAGGCCTAGTAAATCTTTCAGGAAAAGGAAAAAAAAAAAAACTCTTTTGTAACTTTTTGGTTGAGGCCTAGTAAATCTTTCTTAGTGATGATAAATTTAGGAAGTTAAAAAGGTGAAGTCAGGGACTTGAAGAGATGCACGATGAGGCAACGACTTATAAAGCAAAATATTTCATTCTACAATAATGGCTCTGCCTAAATAAATCATAATCTAAATATTCTTTGAATAGAAGTATGTAAATAAAGTAGGAACTTCTAATCAATCATATCGTTAATGTCGAGCATAATTCTAGATTGAACAACTGTGCTGAACTCCTTTCAAGCATGAATAATACTTCTTTAATGAGCTAGTTTAAAGAGGGCTATCTTGAATTTTTTTGTTGCAGTTTTTTCATGAGTCACCTAAGCCATCAGATAATTGGTGGCCTCTCCATAGGAGAAAATAATGTAGACTTTTTAAGGAGCCCAATATAATCTTTTTTGTCAAAATCTAGTAGCATGTGTGTTGGACTGGGGTGGTGGTGGAACTAGAATTTATGATGTTGCTAGAAATGCAAAATCTTTACTCATTTAGATACCTGCCTAAAATTTTATAGATCAAAATTTCCTCTATATACTATTATTTCTTCAGTGTTAATATTATTCATATTAACAGGATAATTAATAATAAATGTTTTTGGTTTTAGGTTTCTACGATGTTTGTAGGGCCCAAAATTTCCTGCATGCAGTTTCTTAAATGTCTATTTCTAAAGGTGTTGATGATGATACAAATTAACACAATCACTTTCATTATATTATCATATTTTTGTATGTTCATTCACCTTAGTTTTAAACTTTTTGATTTGCAAATCAATTTGTGTTTAATGTCAGAATGTTCTTTATTCAAACTGTGATGTAGCGAACTAATATACATGCAGTTAATGATATGGGATCTATAGAATTCAAAGAGTAGTATTTCAATGAAAATATTGACAAAACATTTGTAAGCACATTCATCCGTAAATAATAATAAATCTCAATTTCTTATATCATTGCCAAATAAGATAATACATCTAATTTTCTTTACTTTTATTATATAACTTTCATCTATCTATCTATTTAGGGATGAAAGATAGAAACAAATTTTTGATCGAGCATTTGCTCTTTTGCTTGGAAGATTTTATATTCCACAATATTTTTTCTCTCTCCTTCATGATTTAAGCCTTTATCCACCAAGTGGGGTTAGTTACATTAATCCTTTTTCTCCATTGTGTTCTTGATGCGGGGCTTAGTGCATCTACCAGGTGGGGCAGAAAAGCCGACCTGGCCTGCCTGCCGAGCTGCATAAGGGGCAGATGTCACTTCCCCTCCCTTACCTGATTCTCTATTCAATTCCCTTTTTCTTAGTTTATTTCTTACCTTTCTATTTCTTTCCTTCCCCCCACACCCCCCCCCCCCCCACACACAACACCACCACCTCCACACCACACCACCTTACAACACGTCCACATCTACACAACAACACAAATTCTATTTTCCATCTTATCTACCACCATCCAATTCTATTCCTTTCCAAATTCCAATCCTTTCCTCTTTTTATTGCTAGGATGCATTATGTATTGTCTTGGGTTAACTAGTTTTTGTTGATTCCATATTTCAGTTTTCTGCCTTTGAGGCGTTTTTACCTTATGAGGGTTGTATCGGACAGTGAGGAGATGCTCTGGCTGTAACTTGTCCAAGGTGGTGACCGTCTCCAAATGCTCGGGTGCTACTTCAGCTGTAGCTCGACCCCCGCCAAGAAATTCCCTTCTGCCACCCGCCCACCCTTCTTCTAGCAGTCGCAAGATCTTCGTTGCTCCCCTTCTAGCAGGCCGCACCTCCCCTAGCACCTTTCAATAGCCGCCAGACTCCCCTACTCCCTACTAGCAGGCAGCACCACATTCAGCTTCCCCCCAGGATTGCCACCTAACTTCCCTGCTCCCTTCCAACAGGTCGCTTCCCTTCCAGTACCGCTTCAGGTTGTTGCCAGAAGCCTCTGATCACTCCAACATCACATGCTAGCTTCTAGCAACCTTCCAGTCGGCCACCATTGCTCACTCCAGACCTGCCAACTCCTGTGTCGAGCACCCTTCTAGCAGCCCGACCCCATTCTGGTTTCCTCCGGCACTACCGCACCCCTTCCTTTTCAGCTGGACCTGCTACCCTCCACTCGATAGAGCCGTTTATGTGTTTCTACCATTTTATTTTGTGTTGTTTAGTCTTGCTTGAGGATTCATCCTTGTCAGTTGAGGATTCACTCGAGGTAGCGATGTTGACTTGATGTGGTAATAATCTCGTTGGGCCTTCCCTGCTAGCTCTGATCATGACTGTATGCAAAGATGGAATGGGAGGAGGTGAAAGATATACTTTCGGGTCTCGGTAAGCCACGATCCTTTGCATCGGGGCCTTCCCAGGTTGGTCTGATCACGACTGTATGCGAAGATAGCATGGGAGGAGGCTAAAGATGGAGTTTCGGGTCTCGGTAAGTTGCAATCCTTCGTCGTTGATGAAGTTAACTTGCGACTATCGCGACGTGGACACTGCAATCATGTTATCGCTTCATTTGGTATGTTGTCGTCCCAACATTGCTTTCTCAGCTAGCTCTTACTGTGACTAAAACAAGGCAGATTGCGATCATTTTCTTCCCAGTAGAAGATCCATGATCCTGTCCTTGGCTTCTTAGATCCCTGAATCACGAAGGAGATGCCTAGAGATCTATTACTCTGATACCATTTGATACGATCCAAGACAGAAATCAACATGATTTTTCACTAAAATTAAGGCAAGCAAATTTGTTTCGTTAATAATTCAAAGCAATAGGAATGCAAGATAAACACCTACAATTCGAGAGGTAGGCGGTCTTTACCAATTCCTACAATTCAAGTGGTAGGAATTCTTTCCCAAACCCTAAACCTAAGACTTTTAATAACAATCTCATGAATAAACCCAACTCTAAACATATTAGCCCTATTTATACTAAACAATAATAAATGACAAAAATTAAATTGCACTTAGGTGCACCAAATACAAAATTTCCCTTAGGCTAGGCCTTGACGTAACATATTCCTATCTTGTGAACTTCCCTTACATAATTTCCACTCTATTATCAAATTGGATAGATTTTCTTACCTTTCCTGGCTTATTTCCTTTATTATTATTTATTTTTTTTGTTAGAGTTTAGTTTAATTATTAGTATAAATATTGTATATGAAACTTGGTTTAGGAGACTTTTGCAAGTGGGGTGCTTGCATCTTGCTCAGGAATAGGTACTGGACCATCCTTGCTGCCCATACTGCTCTGTTTCGTGGTCCGCCTCGCAGTTTTCTGCAGGTACAGCTGCCAAACAGCCCAATTCTGATGTCCAACAGAAGATTTGAACCTATTTCTCCTTCCGAACGTCATCAACCGCCCTTGTTATCATTCTCTTGCTATTTTATAACTACACCCTGCTAAAGCCTCTTCTTAAATGCCTTATAGGAGCCCTAGAACGGTTTCGACAAATTTTCAATTAGTCAAGTTCAATTTTTTATTGTCTTCTGATTCTCAATTAAATTTGGTCCGGGCTCTGTCATTTGGATGCGTTTTATCTTTTATGCAATTAGGAACAAAAGAAAAGAACACAAACTGGAATTGTTAACCTAGCCTGGAGAATTTTTATAGCTGAATTATCCTCAAATATTTCTTGTACAATCTTCCCATCGGTTGATTCATGTGCGGTTTAACTGGGATTACGTCTTAGCATTGTCTGTTTGAGCTTTTTGGAAGATACTATTTTTCAACATTTGTTAACGTTCTTCCATAATTTTCATCTTTAAGTCTTAATTTATTTCTTTTATCAGTGACGGTTGATATGTATAATCTTTGTATATTTTTTCATGTGGATTGTTGATGTCTTAATTGTTTTGAAGGTGGAGGAGGCTGTCCTACTGTCAATGGCTAAACATCGAGGCTCAAATATTAAAGGTGTTCATTGAACCTCAGATTTTATAAAGGATGTTTGCATTATGTTTTCACATTTTTATTTCCCGCATTTTATTTTTTGAATTCATTTCAGCATGTCCGTGCTAGGAGTACATGTATTTTCGATGATTCTTATTAGCTTACATTTACATGAGTTGTTAATTCAAAAGACAGACAACACGCTGAAAAAGAGGAGACAAAAGCATTCCTTTTTCTCTCTGTATTTGCTGTATTCATTTTTAAGAATCCTGTTAATTACTAATCATTGGTATTTTATGAAAAGTATTATTAGGGAAATATCTTATTTAGAAAATACCGTATTAGAAAGTTATTTTTTTATATTGTCATAAACATGCATATTCCTTATTATTAGTTGTTGTCATATTCCTCTTGTTTGCTTTTATCCTCACACAGTAGGGCGCAACAAAATTTTTTTGGGGTTATCCCAAACTTTTTTCAACATGATCTCAAAGCAAGTCTATCTCCTAGCTCTCCTTGTGTATAAAAAAATTTAGGTTTTGTTTACTCAAATGATATATTGGTCGAATCCATGTCTAGATTGTTGTCTTGTTTTATTTTTAGTTTGGGTTCAGGTCTGAATTTCAAACTCAAAATCAACTAGAAACCCTGATATTTGCTCCAAAATTACAATTTTGGCCTCTCAAATCATACATCATCAGTCCAACCTATGCATCGTTGGCCTCTAGGTAGGATAGTTTCCTCTTTCAGATAATGATTGCATTGATTATTTTACTCGGTTGAGGGTTTTAAAGACTTTCTTTCAATATGCTACATGAGTAGACCTAATCTTATTATTGATGGTCTAAGGGTCGGCAGCTAAAAAGAGTTATGTTTGGGGGTCGACCGTAAGAAGCTGTCAGTCGTCGGAATCGAAATCTCATCGCCCGCTTCGGAAGGACGTTTTAATTTACGTATATATATATATATATATAGTTTTAGAAAAATATGAAATCAAACCGACCCCATATTTTTCTCAGTTTAAATGAAAGAGCGCTCTACCTCAAATCTTGTATCTATCCCGAGGGATAAACACAAGACTTGAGGATGAGACTCGATCAAATAAACTAAGAAAACATATGACATCCGTTTGGGTCTGCGAAACCGTTTTATTTGCCGACAAGTTCCCCTATTTAATACAAATAATTAAATAGGGTTTATTTTAAGCTGGGTTCGGAAAAGCTTCCTATAAGGGCAAGCCCCTATAGTTA